CTATGTGACATAATAAAATGTCACCATTTAGTTCTTTAGGGCCTCTGTTAAAATATATATGAAATGTTTGGGGGTTCTAAGTAATTTTTTAGCAAAAAAATACAGATTTTTACATGTAAGAGAGAAGTGCCAGAATGGGTTAGGATCCTTAGCCACCCTGCAAAAAAAATATAAAATATTTTCCAGTCCAGTCGATAGTTAGTCTTATCTTTGCTCTCTTGAAGAACTTCGGTATCCAATTAATCTTCTGCCTAGACCTTGATGTGTGATGTAGTTCCACCAGCCTCCCCCCCCCCCCCCCGATATCATTACTGGGTGTAATGACATGTGCAGTGGAATACCAGGCATCTAACACATCTGGAAGTGTGTGATGCAGAAGGCTCTTCGGGGGGCCATAGCCTTAAAAAAGAGTGAAGATAGAACTCACTGCCCACCGAAATGGTAAGTATTCTTATTATTTTGCAGTGTGGCTATAAAAAACAAGAAAACATAAAAGCGAGTCACTTTAATCCAAACCCTTACTATCATTTTGCTGGACAGAAATGTCTACTTGTAAAAGTGGAGAAAAATATAAATAAAGGCATGTAAAATTATAAAAGGGATAAATATATCACATACTATAGTTCTTTTTTTATATTATATCTTTATTTATTTTTATTTTACAAATCCGTGTTAAACCACGTCATACAGCACAAAAATCCATACTTAATTACATTCCTCGTACCCATATATACCCTCCCTTTGTCTTCTTGATCCTTGTTCTTCATTTGCCAATCTATCTGTTTCCCCTCCTTACCTTTTTCCTCTTTCTTTCCTTTCATTTCCAAACTCTTGTTTATCTTCTTTCTTTTTTTACCCCTACACTCCAACCGCTTCTAAAAATCTTTTACATTTTTTGACATTATACCATCCTTCCCAGGCCTTTTCACATTTTTTCCATTTTATGTTCGTCTATATGATAGAATTCTTCCATTCTATGTATATACTCAACTCTATCCATCCTATCTTTTATTTTTGGGGACTTTGGTGTTTGCTAATATTTAGGAACAAGGCTTTTGGCCGCACTTAAAAGATAGAACAATATAATATTTTTCTATTGCTTCACCGAAAGCTCTGATTTATGAAACAGGCAAACCCATGGGTCTGTCAGTATATTAATCTTCTGAATCTCTTGTATATATTGCATTATCTTCCTCCTAAACTCCTGTATTTTGGGACAGTCCCACCAGATATGTGCCATTGTATCCTTACTCCCACATCCCCTCCAGCACTGGGATGAGACCTCTGGCCGTAGTTTATGCATCACAATGGGTGTAATGTACCATCTTACTAGACATTTATAATTCATTTCCACTATATTCATATTTACTGCCCTACGTATTAAACTAAACATTTGATTTTTTGTTGCAATAGTTCTGATACGCTGTTACTGTCCATATATATTTATTTCACGTTGAGTCTATTTTTTTGTCAAACAGGTATGACCTGACCCACTGAGGTTAATTTATTAAGGAAGCTGACATTTACTAAAGCGAATACTCACACAGATTAGTAGTTCACATCAATCATCCAGTATGTGTTATTGTGCGCAAATTCAAGTCATATAGACATATCAGCAATAGAAATCAGGCAGAAGACGTTGACCACTCTATCCATTATTCAAGAAAATAAAGATTTTTCAGGAATTGTACCATAAAGCTCAATGGAAGCTTTCAGCTTAAATCACTATATTGTATATGGGGTCAAACTGCGCAAATCTCTAATCACCTTGTGTCACAAAGCCGCAAATATTATAGAGGATATCCTCTCTCTGTAAAACGTAATTGGAATGGATGCTTAAATATTTTATGCAACATACATACGCACTATGAAGACCCTAGGTGTATACCTCTGAAAGGCGCACAAGAAGTGACAAAATAAATAAAACACAAGATGAACTGTGTAAATACACTGATCACAAGTGTAGATAACAAACTGTGAAATATGGTAAAAACAACCTTTGGATATCAAACAGCATGCATAAGCCATATGAAGACCCCCATACATCTGAAAGGCAATAAAAAATGGAAAGTGAATTTAAAAAATAATACTGTGCAAAATATACTAACCACAAGTATGCTGTACATGAAAAACTGTGAAATAGGGTCAAAACAACAAAACAATAAAAACAATAACGTATTGTCCATATAGACATATATTAAAGTCCATATGGAGATGAAAACTCAACAATCAGTGATAAAGCTGTAAAACAATGCTGTAGGTGCAATGTGGATCTTCCTTCAAAGGGGCAGCACAGTGGCTTAGTGGTTAGCACTTCTGCCTGGCAGTACTAGGGTCACTGGTTCAAATCCCAACCTCGGCACCACCTGCCTGGAGTTTGCATGTTCTCCCTTTGCCTGCGTGGGTTTTCTCCGGGTACTCTGGTTTCCTTCCACTCTCCAAAAACATTCAGGTAGGTTAATTGGATCCTGTCTAAATTGTCCCTAGTATGTGTATGTATGAATGTCATTTAGGGACCTTAGATTGTACACCCCTTGAGGATCAGGGACTGATGTGAATGTACAATATATATGTAAAAGCACTGCGTAAATTGACGACACTATATAAGTACCTGAAATAAATAAATGGTCACCAGAGTGTGTACCACCACCAAATAATCAAATGGAGGCTTACCAGAAATGGAGACCCCTTAATTATAGAGGGTCCAAACCAGCATTTGTGATATAAAGCACTAACAGGCTTTGCATATCATGCCCAGAACATGGTTCTTCCAAACCTCTAATTTGAATGTCAACTCAAAATGAAGTATCAAATAAGATCATGAAAGAAACAACATGCCTCTTGTAGTGCAATACGTATCAAAATTTCTTTAATTACGCAAATGAAATCCTACTTACAATCTGTAGAACAGTTAAAAGTATTCAAATAGACCGTTTCCAAGATGTCTGACAGCGTGATGACGTCAGAGGGAGTCTCCATTTTCTGGTAAGCCTCCATTCGATTATTTTGGTGGTGGTACACACTCTGGTGACCATTTGAAGGAAGATTATCTACATTGCACCTACAGCATAGTTTATCACTGATTGTTGAGTTTTCATCTCTATATGGACTTTAATATATGTCTATATTTTATGGACAATAAGTTATTGTTTATCACTGATTATTGAGTTTTCATCTCTATATGGACTTTCATATATGGACAATCACAAGTTATTGTTTTTATTATTTTGTTGTTTTGACTCTATTTCACAGTTTTTCATGTATGCTTGTGGTCAAAACAACAAAACAATAAAAACAATAACGTATTGTCCATATAGACATATATTAAAGTCCACATTAGTAATATTTTACACAGTAATTTTTAATTCGCTTTCCATTTTTTGATTGCCTTTCAGAGGTATGATGGGTCTTCATAGGGCTTATGTATGCTGTTTGATATCCAAAGGTTGATTTGACCATATTTCACAGTTCTTTATGTACACTTGTGATCAGTGTATTTACACAGTTCAATTTTTTATTTATTTTTTCTTTCTTGACCGCCTTTCAGAAGTATGAGAGTCTTCATAGTGCATATGTATGTTGTATAAAATATTTAAAGATTCACTTAGCGCAGTATCCATTCCAATTAAATCACTATATACATTGCAGGTGAATCAAAAGAAAAGCTGATCAGGGTCTTATAGTTTGATTTCTTTTTAAATATCACATGCTCCTGTTCCACCATGTTCCAGTGCCGGGTCTTTCCATCTGTGTGCAACTGCATGCTTCCAGCCAATCACAGAGGTGATGCTGTTTTAAAGGGCTAGAGTGCAGATTGCTCAGTGTTCAAGTAAAGCATCTACACGCCGCCAGGAGGATGCCAGGATCCCCATGTTCCCCAGTGATGTTTCCAGCATTTTCCTTGTGCTTCCCTATATTGCCTCTTTTACTCCTAGTCTGAGTCTCTGTATCCCTGTGCTCTCGATGCCCCTGTGGTCTCCAATCTTGTGTACTCCTTCCTGTGCCCATAGTGTTCCCCCATCTGTTTCCTACCTTATTCATCCCATGCATTCCTGCCAGCATCTCATCTCTCATCACCTTCTGCAATTCAGTTATTTTCTGCTTGTTTTTTGTGTCTCAAACAGTCCCTTGTTATTTCCACTAGACATGTGCAAAACAAAAAAATTAGTTTTGTTTCGAAATCTAACAAATTTCGTATAGTTGGATTTTCAGAATTCATTTTGGTAATCCGTATTCGAATGCAATTCAAAAACACTTTGACCAAATTCAAAAAGTAATTTGTATTCGAAATTGGTTCAACCGAATTCGAAAACAATTCAATAAATAACATGGAGCTGGGGACTAGAGTTCTTAAAGCGGAACTTCCCCTTTTGGATGGAGCTCCGCTTTAAATTTGTTTTCGAATGTTTGTTCAATTTTGTATTCAAATTTGTTTGCTAATCAAACTTCAGCTGAATTTCGTTTTGTTATTTCGGATTCGTTTAAATTTGTTATTTTTTGTATTTTGTTATTCGGATACATCTGAATCTCTAAATAATGAAAAAAATTTGTCTGAAATGTGATTCAGAACTAAACAATCTAATTTCCACCTGTGCACTCATACACTCTTGCTACTTACTTCTCTGTGTTCTGTTATTCTGTATAGCCAGTACCCCAGCGTTGCAAGAGAGTCTCACCTGCTGTTAGTGGCAGCCTACTCAGGTGAGTCAGAGAATCTGAAGACCCCCTGCAGCACAACATCTCCACCTCTAGGAGCTCTGGTGAAGATCAGGTGGTGTCTTAGACTTTGCCTTTTTCAGGGCTTTCACCTCCACCAAGTGTGTTCTCCATGTCCACCCTGTAGCTTTTACCATTATTTACCCTGCTGCTACTCAAAGTCCTGGTCAGCCACTATGCCCAATGTGGGGGCATATTTCATAATCTGTGACAGTAAACCAGCCACAGTTTGAGTAGAAAAGACTGTCCCCTGCCAGCACACTGCCGAAAAGGACCCTTGCTCCTGGCCCCTCTGCAGAGGTCTGACATGGTCCTTCTCAGTTAGAACTAGAGCTCTCCAATCAGCAAAGCTCAAACTCCCTACTGAATGAAAATCTCTACCTCTTACTTAAAGTGTTACTTAACCCAGGACCCTGCAATCACTATATCTACAGTACACAGAAAATGGAATTGCAATTATTTTAGTAAATATAAACTGCTAAGTACCTTTTTTCATCAGCAGTTAGAGCGGTCTTGTGACTTCTATCAGTGTCCAGCAAAGCACTGGTTAAAGCTTGTAGGAGGAGTTTTCTTTCTGCTCTAGGAGGATGCAGGGCCCCTGACCTCTGTCTTAGCACTGCTGATTGGCTCTGTGCTGATCACATGCACTCTCCAAAGAAAACAAAACCTCTCTAGCAATACACACTACACTGAGCATGTGCATGTGGCTACAGGTTCAGTCTATCTTAACAGGTGGACATTTGAACAAGAGGGTAGGGAAGACAGGACCAAACAACCTTTTTACACAATGCAGAGGATTAACCCCTTAGGTTCCACAGGTAGTATAACAAGCATGCTTTACTGCAGATACAGACTGATTTTACTGTTGTGGGTTTAGTAACACTTTAACAGCAGGCATGTGTTGGACCTATGCAGAGAGACCACTGCTTCCCCTTTTCTGCAGCTGTTGGCAGGAACAGGATTTTCTACTCAGACTCTGGCCTGTGTAGAAAAGTCATATATAAAAAACTGTTATATATTGAGTACTTTTTATTTTGATGCACTTGTAAAGTATTTAGCTGATTTAACTCCTTACTGCCAGCTGCTGCCGATCCTTTAGGGGTGGGTAACTCTGATGGCGTTACATGGGCTTCCCAATCTTGTGATCGCTGTGATTGATTGTCACAGTAATCATGTGATTGGGAGCCTGTTCTTCCTTCCAGGGGCATATCTGTCATGAGGCAAACAAGGCCTTTGCCTTGGGCAGCATTTTACGGGGGGGGGGGGGGGTAGCGCCGCCCCCCAGGCAGAGGGGACACTGTGTGTGTCAGCGGCAGGGCTGCCTTGGGTGGGGGTACAACCAAGCCGACACACAAGTAGGATCACCCTGGCCAAGGGACCGGCTGTAGAGGAGGTCGGAAGTGGTGGGCAGATCCCCAGTGTGCACTGGGAGCATGTGAGGGCCGGGACCCGCTGTCAGCGTGTGTCGGGATGTGCAGGATTGCCAGGAAGTGCCAGCAGAGGGCCTGTGGAGGAGGAAGAAGAAGAGGACAAGGTCAGGGTGGAGGAGCCCCCCAACTCTTTTGTAGCTGCCACTGGAGATCCTGGGGGAGATGGGACACAGGCACCCCTCCTGGAGTGATCCTAACACCAACTGGAGGAGCCCGCTGCTGGACAGGTAAGAGCTTGGAGGACTGGTGCTTTCCCTCTCCTGTCTCACTGCCCCCCCAACACACTGCCCCCCAACTGTCACACCTCCCTCCCCCTCTGCCATTGCCCCCCATCCTTCATTCTTCCCTTTGTCACCCTGCCCCACACCTGTTCCACTGCCCTCTCCTTTTCTGCTGCCCCACACCTGTTATGCTTCCCCTGCCCTGTTCCACTGTCCCCCACATGTCCCACTACCCCCCATCTCTCCCACTGCCACTCGCCTGTCTTGCTGCACTCCTCCTGTTCCACTGCTCCCTCACTTATCCCACTGCCCCCCCTCCTGTCCCGATGCCCCCGCTTCATGCTGCCCCCCTCCTGTCCTGCGGCCCCCCCATCACGCTGCCCCCCTCCTGTACCGTGGCCCCCCCCTGTCACACTGTCCTCCATCATGCTCCTGTCCTGTCCTGAATATGCGGATCTTAAACAAGAAGGGGTAGGACAAATTTAGATGGAGGGTCCCTATTTTAGTCTTGTCTAGGGCAGCACAAAACCAAAATACACCACTGCTTCCTGCTTCTGTATGTCACTGCGGGAAGTATTTACTAAAACCGTAGCGTGCAAAATCTGGTGCAACTCTTCATAGAGACAAATCAGCTTTCAATTTTTATTGCCAAAGCTTAAAGTGTAACTCCACTTTTGTTGAGGAAAAAAGCATTCCCCTCTGTGTGATCTATGGAAATTGCAAGTATTTTAACAAACTTTGTTGCAGATTTCTGCCTTTTGCGAATTGGAAGAAATAGATGTTTGTTTGTGTCCATGTGAATCTGTATAGGAGTGACTTCATAATTGTCACTTGTTGCACCTGCAGGGCTCTAATGAGAAATACTGCAGGTTCTGCATCCCATTAGATGTGATTTCCCTTTGGAAGTATTTCACCAAAAATGAAATTTTTGTTGCAGGGGATGCTCAAAATCTGACTATTCTAGGAAAATCAGTAAGCCAATCACACAAGCAGAATATGACATTTCTGGGGGGCATTCTGTACACCATCTGTGTACAGAACATCTCCAGGTAGCCATATTGCATTGCATTTTACAGAAATTTACAGCACTGCAGACTGAAAAGGAAAGGTCATTTATAATAGCATTCAATTATATGACTTGTGTTGCAGTTGCATAAGCTATATAATTATTTTTGTATTTGCAAATTTCTTTCCCCCACAAAAGTGGAGGTACCATTTAACCACTTACCGTCTGCCCTATAGCAGACATACTGCTACAGGGTGGCACGGGTGTGTGTGTGTGTGTATATATATATATATATATATATATATATATATATATATATATATATAATATTGTGGGAACTCGCATCAAGTGGTAGAGCTTGATGTTTTTTTGTTTCACAAAAAATACATTACGGGGACATGGATGTGTATTGATGATTTTTGAAGAACTTAACCACTTCAATACAGGGCACTTTTACCCCCTTCCTGCCCAGGCCATTTTTCAGGTTTCAGCTCTCTCACCCTTTGAATGACAATTGCGCGGTCATACAACATTGTACCCAAACTAAAATTTTATCATTTTCTTCACACAACTAGAGATTTCTTTTGGTGGTATTTAATCACCTCTGGGGTTTTTATTTTTTGCTAAATTAACAAAAAAAAATTTTGAAAAAAAACCACGTTTTTCTTTGTTTCTGTTATAAAAGTTTGCAAATAAATAATTGTTCTTCATAAATTTAGGCCGAGATGTATTCTGCTACATGTCTTTGGTGAAAATAACCCAAATTAGGATGTATTTTTTAGTTTGTAGGAAAGTTATGGAGCTCACAAACTATGGGATAGATCTGAATATTGATCAATCCTGAAGTACTGACAGCCAATCTAATTTCTTGAGGTCCAAGAATGTCAGAACAGTACAGATATCCCCCAAATGACCCCTTTTTGCAAAGTAGACAGTCCAACGTACTTCATAAGAGGCATGGCGAGTTTTTTGAAGTTGTATTTTTTTTGTCATAATTTTTTGGAAAATGAAAAAATTATTTTCACTATTTTTTTTTTACATACTGTTACCAGTGCAGTACAGCGTCATCATATAACTGGCATGGTGGTGATCTGGGACACTGACTGGTGATAGTATGAAAAAAAAAAAATATTTTTTTTAAATTTTTTTTTATTTTTTTATTATTTTTAATTTTTTATTAATTGTTTTTTTCTTTTTTTTTAAGATTTTTTTTCATATTTCACTATGTCCAAAGTAGTACAATGTTACCATAGTAACATTGTACTACTTTGGGGAAGTGATCAGTATTTTTTTTTTTTTTTACACAATTTGCTTATCGCAAAGAATTACTTTGCTATATGCAAATCATTTACCTAAATGACATCGATTCATGCAGGGTTTTTTTTTTTTTTTTTTTTTTTTGTGCTTAGCTGTGATTTGGCCACAGCTAATCACATGACATGTGCATGTGATCGCTGTGACCATTCACAGCTAGACACACTAGTATACAATGGATGGCATGAATGAAGCCATCCATTGTATACAACTGTCATGTGACCTGCTGTGATTGGTCACAGCAGGTCTCATGGTACCGGCAACGTCCGAGGTACACGGCCAGTGACAGATCGCACCACTGCGTGGCTCTGCAAGCGCGAAAACTGCGCATGCCCGGGAGGACGCAATATGGCGTCCACCCGGAAATCTACAGCATTTGGCTATTGGCCGGGTGGCTATTGGTTAAAGCACACAGCAACTCGATTTCTTTTTAAGGGCCATTTTAGCCCACTTTTATTTAAAGGAAAAGTTCCATAAATCCAAAGCAAACAATTTCCCTCACAGGGGTTTTCAGCATGTCATTCTTCCAAAACTGACTTTTAGCCTTTTGGCTTATACATACAATCCTCCTCTGGCCTTCCACTTCAGGCTTACGTCTGTCTCCTGCAGACTCTTTTCCAAATGGCTGTTTCACACACAGCTAGCCACTAGCACACAGCTACTCTGGATTCCACCTCTCCTAGATGAAGCCCACCTGCCTCCAAGGCAGTGACCTCCTGTCTCCCGGGGTGGAGCCCAGAACCCTGGTCCTGACTCTAGAAGAGAGCCATGCACACCTGACCAATCAGTATCCTGGCCATTCCCAAAACATGGTCCCAGGATGGAGATTTCATCCCTACCAAATAACTTTGAAATCTCCAGGCTCCAGGTCCCAAAAAGGATCTTACAAACAAATGAGGAAAGTGAAAAGCCACTTTCCTCTGCATCAAACAAGTACCCTGGAGCCCCTCAACCTGCCTTGTTGAGAATCCCGGGTGAAATATCCTTTTTATATAGTGACAGATCGCCACACTGTCACAATATAAATATATATATATATATATGTGATTTTGCATTAACGGGTAGGGGGTCACGCGCACCCTACCCACGCCGCCAATTGTGGCCCCGGGTGTTAATCACGGGGTCCCGGCCGGTGATTACCTGCTGCCGCCCGGTGATTGCTGAGGATCACCGACGAGGAGGAGGACTGCTTTGTTTACCAACAGTCCTTCTTCCTGTCAGCTTGGGCACATTGCTCTGAATGGATGAGCAGAGCCATCCAGAGCAGTGTGCTTTACAGTGAAGCACACCCCCCCACCCCCCAGTAAAACACTCCCAGCACACAGTTGATCACCCCTCATTGTTAACCCCTTCCTGCCCAGTGCCATTAGTACAGTGTCAGTGCTTTTTTTTTAGCACTGATCACTGTATTGGTGTCACTGGGGATGTCAGCGACACCAAGTCAGTTCACCCCAGTGTCAGAATGTAAGCCGTAGTTCTGCAGTCCTGCTATAAGTCGCTGATCACCGTCATTATTAGTAGAAAAAAAAAATTACAGTATATATACCACCATTTGTAAATGCTATAACTTTCCCGTAAACCAATTAATTTACACATTTTGGGATTTTTTCTTTAGCAAAGAAGTGTAGCAG